CTGAAATTGCACTTACAATTTGCGAAGAATTTTCTCTCAGGGAAATTTGGTTGAACTGAAAAAAGAAAAGAAAACTCTAATGATAGTTCTGAAGAATAATTGAATCTAAATAATATTTTTTTTGTGTAACTGCTAATAGAACGGGATTGAAATACTCGTACCTTATATGCAAAATCCTCCATTGTGCGGAGTCAGACGAAGAAATCTGCAAATCTGTGTCACGCCTTTGTAAACATCAGCCAACTCTGGTGGTGTGCGGCAAGTCTTCAGTCCTTCACTATATATGACGTGATGCATGCAACAGGTACTTGTAAGAGGTACTGCAAAATCTATGAAAAATGTAGCAATCTAATCAATCTAATCAACATACACTGTCCAATCATTACTAATGTTATCTTTCTAAGCTATACCTTTACCTGGTCGCAGCGGGCGAGTGAGATAGATTTTATCTTATCTTAAGCTTTCGTCATTCACGATATGTCTAATGTGAAGTCATAAATATTTTTCCATTTCCTTTTCGTTAGATCTTTTACATGTCTGATATTTCAAAGTTCTCATGAAAAAGGAATAATACTTTATTTTCTAATGTAATTTGTAAACAATCACAGACATCGTGAAATGAGGATTATTAGAGACAATGATGGATAAAATCTCCACAGAGAGGCGAGTAAGCAATGTCATATGATACCGACAATGCTATTTAGAATGTGCTGTGGTTGTGATACTTTTAATGTCGACAATTATATCATAAAATATGATATCTTCAGAGAGCGAGAGAGAGAGCGAGAGCGAGAGCGAGAGAGCGAGAGCGAGAGCGAGAGAGAGAGAGAGAGAGAGAGAGAGAGAGAGAGAGAGAGAGAGAGAGAGAGAGAGAGAGGAGAGAGAGAGAGAGAAGAGAGAAGAGAGAGAGAGAGAGAGAGAGAGAGAGAGAGAGAGAGAGAGAGAGGGAGAGGGAGAGGGAGAGAGAGAGAGAGAGAGAGAGAGGAAAGGCTGATAGATAGGCGAAGGAAGATAAAATATTAGATAAATAAAATTTTTCTGTGTGTGTATAAACTTTTTATACACACACAGACACATTTTTGTGTGTGTACGTATATATATATATATATATATATATATATATATATATATATATATATATATATATATATATATATATATATATATATATATATATATATATATATACGTACACATACGCGTACAAGCACAAACACACAAACAGAGAGAGAGAGAGAGGGAGATTGATAGATATATAGACAGATCGAGAGCGCATCATAATGCCAACAATAATGCTGATATTGATAACTGAAATGTGATGATGATAATAATGATGATAATGATATTAATGATAATGATAATAAAGATAATGATAATATTAATATTCATGATATTAACAACAATAACAACGACAATAATAATGACAATAATAATAATGATAATGGTTTTACTAATAAACAATAATGATAATAATTATGATAATAGTAATGATAACGGTAATAGCAATGGCAGTGGTAATGATGGCGATTATTATGATAATATTGCTAATACTAAAATGACGGTAATAACCATAGTAATAATGATAATATGGTAATAACCATAGTAATAATGATAATATCACGATTAGAGTACATGAACGAGCCGTGTCCAGTACTGCAATGGCCCGATATAGCCAAGCTCAACTCCCGTCGTGGATAAAGATTGTTCAGAGTGTACAATCATCAGTCACGTTTTGTATGTTTCTTCTGTTATATTTTAACTAGATATTTTGTTGATTATAATTTCAGTCATTTAGTCCGATTAAATTATCTTGATCTCATAGTATGTAACGTATGAAATAGGTCGTGATCACTTAATTTAATTTATTATAATAGAGTCTATTCAATCTATGTCTCGCTTTGCTTGGGCAGTTAATTTGATTTCGTCTTTTCCTGATTCAATATATCTAATTTCTTGTGATCAGATTCCAATGAAGAATTACGTAAAATACACACATCAATGCTTATTTTAATTACGGAAACATTTTACCA